TGTGATGGTGGGGTTGAGTTGTTTGCACATCCAACTTTGCCCAAACCCCTCTTCATCTCGAGGTATGCCTGCTACACCCTCCTGGTGCTTTCTCCTCTGTATTTCTTCTGTTGTTGACCTGGGTGAACAGGATTTGTGTGTGTGTGTGTGTGTTTTTTTTCTCTGGTGTCTCCTCTCCTTCATCTCTCTGCCACACCGCCATACCCTACCCCTGATAAGACGGGATGGGAGTGGATGATCTCAGGGAAGTGGGACTCACATTCTCCCTCTTGGGCACTGGAGCAAAAATACAGAAAGAGCTTGTCAATTTGTAGTGAAAATGGCCCACCTAAGGAAAGTGTTGAGGAGGCAGAAAATAGGAAAAAGTAGAAGAAATAGCTGGGGAGGAGCAAGAGGAAAATGGAATCCCTACTTGGCTAGAAGCAGCAGTGAAAGGGAGCCAGGCAGACCACAGAGAAACAAAGTTTCATCAGCCCAGGCTACCACTTCCAGTTCAGCTGCCCTTGTCCTGTCTCCTCCCATGAGCACCTCTTTTGCCAGGATAAATTGAGAAAGTCTGTAGCTTGCATCCTGTCTAAGTGGGGCAGCTGGGTGTAACCCCTGAGATTTGTTGTGGGTTCTCTCTTTGCAGAAAGATGTTCCCACATGGGTCTGTTTATCTTAAGAGATCATATTTTCAATAATCTTTAATTTCTCTGGGTGAAAGCCACCTCTGGAACCCTCTCCTTTATATTTGCCAGCCTTTGGCCTTGTTTCTGTTGTATATAATCAGCCATAGACATTTTACCTTACCTCAAAATACTCTGACAAGAAAGGGAGAAGACTGGGGCCCTGAACTTGGGAAAGAAAGACTGGACAGAGGGTCTTAGCAGAGTGAGAGAAACAGCAGCAAGCCAGGGACCCAAGGGGAAGAGGACTAGGTAAGGAGATTTCCCAGCAATTATTGACAGATGAGTTGAATAATAATGAGGTCTGTGTTAGATTTTTTTTCTTCTTATTTGATGCAAGTACCTTAGATTTGTCCCAATCTTCAGCAAAGGTCTGCTATAATAGTCTTGCATTTGTGGTTCCCTGGCAGTGCAGGGAGGTTGTTCTCTCTTTGGATTAAGAGGGGCAAGGCATGTGGTCCAAACTATGTAGGTCAAGTGGCAGGCAGGCAAATGGGACTGGGGATTGAATTGGCTGCAAGACCCTTGAGAGCAGGAGGTGAAGAGCCACCTCCAGCAGAATAGCAACTCTCTCCATCTCCACTTCTTATTTTCTACAATGAAGTCCTTGGAGGTCTCAGAGAGGTTTGCCTGTTGAGCATCCTCGTTTTCTTTTCCTTGGTATTTTATTGTTGCGGACAGGAATAAATTGTCAGTTTTGAAACATCTTCATAAGGGGCTGTTTAGACCAACCCTGGGCAACTAAATCTGGATTTAATATTAGAGATTAATAAACTTCTATCAGACTTTTATGTTGTTATAACCACTGGATTTTCTATTAACTGCAGACAAACCTATACATTGAGGAGAATATTGGATCTCCTGTCATGCGTGATGAGTGCCTGAGTTATTTTCTTTTACATTATTCCAAATTTAAACCCTATGTATTAAGCAGTGTTATTTAAAATAATGGTTAAGCAATTTTACAAATACAAAATCGCCTTTTAATGTCAGTTTTATTTCAAACCAAGGAATGTCAGCTTTAAACCTACAGTGTTTCCAGCATGTAAGAATGTCTCTCATGAATAAAATATCTGACACTGGGCATGGTGGCTCACACCTGTAATCCCAGCACTTTGGAAGGCCAAGGTGGGTGGATCATTTGAGGTCAGGAATTCGAGACCAGCTTGGCCAACAGGGCGAAACCCTGTCTCTACTGAAAATACAAAAATTAGGCCAGGCGCGGTGGCTCATGCCTGTAATCCCAGCACTTTGGGAGGCTGAGGTGGGTGGATCACTTGAGGTCACGAGTTCCAGACCAGCCTGACCAATATAGTGAAGCCTCATCTGTACTAAAAGTACAAAAATTAACCGGGCATGGTGGGGCATGCCTGTAATCCCAGCTACTTGGGAGGCTGAGACAGAAGAATCACTTGAACCCAGGAGGCAGAGGTTGCAGTGAGCTGAGATTATACCACTGCACTCCAGCATGAGTGACAGAGCGAGACTCCATCTCAAAAAACCAAACCAAACCAAACCAAACCAAACAAACAAAAAAATTAGCTGGGCATGGTGGTGCATGCCTATAATCCCAGCTACTCAGGAGAATCACACTCTGACTCAACCTGGGAGATGGAGGTTGCAGTGAGCCAAGATTGCACCCCTGCACTCCGTCTCAAAAAGAAAAAAATCTGACAAAAACCATACCAATTAATCCCATATTCTGTGCCAGGCACTTTATACACATTAACTTATTTAATGCCTCCAACAACCCAGTGATAAGGTAAATCACCAACCACCTTCTACATGGTGTAGAAGGAGTACAAGGTGGATAATCTAGCCAAAGATGCCACCTAGTGGGTAAAGACAACTGCCCTGGTGCCTGGAAGGCTGGTTCAGCACCATGCCCTGCTGCTTCTGAGAGCCTCAGCCTGGCCACAGACCCACAAGACCTCCCTGGATTCTTGTCCTTTCGTATTCCTGTCTGTGGAACTGTCTGCTGAGCCTGTCTGGAAAACAGGGAAATTCTTTGCCCTGGATTTTGCTCTCTTTCTCTCTGAGGAGAAGTAGAAGGTGAGTTGTTTTCTCTAGCTCTTTCTTGGTGTACCATGGATGGAAAGTGCCAGGAACTACTGATTCTGAGAGTTCCTATGTATTTTGACTCAAGCAAAGATCCTAAAGTAATAATATTTGCTAACGTATCTTGTGTTACTCATGATATTTCTTTCTTCTTCTCATGTCATCATTATTTTTTCTTGAATCAAGATATAGCCAGGTCCTAAGTGTACCAGTCTAAATTATGACAAGTCTCACTTATTTCTGTGTTCTAATGGGACTATTTGAGTGACTTGCATTTTGCTGACTTTGGCTTCTACCTACCCCGTGGTCAGAGCGCTGCCTTCCACAGGGCTCTTGGGTGAGTCAAGCTGGGGTTTAGTGGGACACACTTCTGAATGTCACACACCACACCATCTGCAGATGGCTCTGCTGCTCCTCTGCCAGAGACATAGTGACCAGATTATACTCATCCATGAGACGTCTCAATTTTTATGCATACAGACATCTGATGTGCTTTCTCACTAACTCACCCATGAATTCATCATGCATCCCTGCATCCATCCATCCATCCATCCATCCATCCATCCATCCATCCATCCGACAGGTGCTTGCTGAAAACTTGCCAAATGCAGAGGATGATAATGCAGTGAAAAGGCAGACACAGTTCCTGCTTGCTTAGAGTTCACAGCCTTTTGACAGAAAGCATGGCCAAGGAGCTCATTTGTGGATGAGAAACGTAGGTGGAGAGACAAGGTAACCTGCCAGCATCCTCAGGCTCTTGGCCGCACTGCGTTGCCCATCCTTAGTCTCCTCATCTCATGCCCTTTCCCCATGCTGGTGTTTCCCCAGTCTGCCTGAGCATGGGTATCCTCTCAGGTGCTTAGGTGCATACCCAGGTGGCTTCCCTGAGAGTCAGATTCAGTCTGTCCGGAGGGAGGCAAATGGGTGGGAATTGGAAGCCAACCAGGCGCATCTGGAACATGCTGCATTACACCAGAGTTTGTGAAAAGGTCATGTGTTGAAGACACAATATCTGAAATGATAAATAGTGAGCTTCTCTTTCTCTTCTGCTTATGCTGCCACAGTTGCCTTCAGCTTCTCCCATAGTTTCTTTCTTAGAAAGATGAGGGTAAAAACCAAAAAGTCTTTAGCTTCCATGGAGATAGTGCTTTGCCTCATTCTATTCCAGATTAGATAGCCTTGTGTTGTATCCTAAACTTTGATTAAGGAATTTCAAGTGAACTTTGTAATGAATCTCCCTGCATGAGTTACATTTTTCCCCTCTCTCTTTTTTATCATATGTATTTAAGGTATACAACATAATATTTTGATATACATAGTGAAGTGGTTACTACAGTCAAACAAATTAACGTATCAATCATCTCACATAGGAACCTTTTAAAAAATTATTGTGGAAACAGTACCTAAAATCTGTTCTCTTATCAAATTTATAGTATACAATACAATATTACTAACTATAATGCTCACTGCATGAATGACTTATTGGCTCTATCCTTGGTTCAATGTGGGCAAATTAGAAAATGAGAATAGAATGAACTCATTGGTACAACAGAAGAGGGGTGGTAAGTGTTTGAAGTAAGTATTTGTAGTTCTGTAGACCCACAGGTAGCATTGGGGTAGCATTGGGAAGGACCCCTGATTACATTCAGGCTACCAGATATTGCACAGAAATGAGAAAACTAGTACTGGAGATGCTGAGGCACCAGCTGAAGACTACATATTCAACGTTGGAGGGTCCATACTAGAACCCAGCCGTCTTCTACTCTATAAAGCAGGTTCATCGAGTTTTACTGCAGTAGACAAATAAAGATTGACTGTGTGAATGCCATTTTCTTTTTGTTTTCACTTCACCCTTTCGATTTCTCTGCATTACCAAAAAGACAAAAAATAACAAACAGTGGCAGGGATGTGGAGAAAGGCAAACCCAGGCTCAGGCAGATTGGGGAAACTCCAACATGGGGGAGGAGCAGGAGGTGAGGAGACTGGGGTGGGGATGGACATCGCAGTGCTACCAAGAGCCAAGGGAGTTCCCCTTTCTCCACACCTTTAGTGAGAATGTAAATTAGTAGAGCCATCATGAAAAACAATATGGGGGTTCTTCAAAAAATAAAAAATAGAGCTACCATATGATCCAGCAATACCACTGCTGGGTATGTAGCCAAAGGAAATGAAATAAATATGTTAAAGAGATAGCTGCACTCCCATGTTTATTGCAGCACTATTCACAATAGCCAAGATATGGAATCAATGTAAGTGTCCTTTAATGGATGAATAGATTTAAAAATGTGTTATATATACACAATGGAATACTATGGAGCTATAAAAATAATAAAATCTTGTCATTTGTGACACCATGGATTAACTAGAGGACGTTATGTGAAGTGAAATAAGTTAGGCACAGAAGGACAAATACTGCATGATCTCACTCAAATGTGGAATCTAAAACAGTTCATCTCATAGAAATAGAGAGTGTGATAGTGGTTACCAGAAACTGGCGAGAAGGTGAGGTAGGGCAGCTTGGGGAGCGATTTGTCAATGAGAACAAGGTTGCAGTTAGATAGGAGAAGTTCTGGTGTTTTGTTGCAAAGTAGGGTGATTATAGTTGACAGTAATGTATTGTGTATTTCAAAATGTCTAGAAGAGAGGATTTTGAATGTTCTCACCACAAATGACAAGTGTTTGAGGTGATGGATATCCTAACTACTCTTATTTGATTATTAGATGATATATTCATATATTGAAATGTCACACTGTAGCCCATAAATATGTACAATTATGTGTCAATTAGAAACAAAATAAAACTTAAAAAGTCAGATGATTCCTTTTCCTTTTTAACCTTGTTTCTCCCTCTTATCTATGTATTATAGCTGCTCTGTGTGTTTCTCCTTCTCCCCCTGAATCCCTTGTTCTTGTCAGTGGCACCATGTGAGACACTCTCGTTGGACAGATGACTGAGATGCAAAAGAGGCAGAATGAGTGAAGCCGTTATCTGTGAGGTGGGTCTATTGTTCATTGTATTAATCTTGGGTCCTGCTTAGGATCCTTGACCTCATTCTTTAGTGCCCATCTACCTCCTCCCCGACCTTTTCTATGTGGTCTGAGGATTCTTCTCTTACTCCAGCATCGGCTTTAGAGCAGCGGTTTCCTTTCTCAATTTGGGAAGCTGGAATCTCAGATCTTGTTCTGCTCACTTCCTCTAGACTTCCTTCTTTTGAGTTGTGACTATTTATTTTCTGCTTTTTCCATAGTTGCATGCACAGAGGAATATGGGAGTATAGAAGGCACCAAGTCTTAATAGGACTCCCCTGTTGCTCCCCCCAACCTCCTGTCCCTCCTCCATTGCAGCTGCTCACCAAGGTGTTTTCCTGATAGCTGTTCAGCAGTGCTTTATTTGCTTGTTCTGGCCAAATGTTGCCTCCTGACTTCTTTTGCTTGCTTATTGGTTTGACTCTTTCCTGGATCTTCCTGATTCTCATTGTCCTCAGCTGCCTCTTTTGTCCATGCACATCTTGCCAAGTCCTCAACATCTTGATTCTCCAGATTTCCACTTCCTCTCCTGCCCTTCTGCCTGGTGCCGCCACCATCTCTCTCTTCATCTCTGCCTATTCTCTCTAGAAACCAAGCCTGCTTCCCTGAGTTTTTAGTCTAACATGCCAAAGAAGAACCAAACCTGTGACCCAGATGTAAACACTTTGCTTTCATTTTTGGAGCGTTTTATCGCTAGGAGTCTACCTAAGTAGCCTGTCCACATGTTGATCCTATATCTCTGGCATTCTGGCCTTGGCCTTTGTTCAGAGGAATAATCCAATGGTCACACTGGTAGACAGGTGGGCAGGATGCCAGTGTAAAATGTGCACTTGAATAAGGAAATGGTTGAACACTCATTTGTTTAAAAAAAATCTTTGTTGTGGTTTATAGTTTTATAAGGTTAAGCGGTAGCAACATAGTATTTTAGTTTGTACTGAAACCAGTAGTTCCATTTCAAAACAACATCTCTATGTGGACTTCCTCTTATATTTGTGATGGGTTTGTGATCCTCACTGGTGGCTTTTTTCCCCTGGATCTACTAAGCAGAATCCTTGTTAGCTGAAGTGTGAGGCTGTGTCTCCATGTCTTCTAAGTTGAGGTGAAAGGACCTAAGGAACAGGCTCCTCTCTCCTCTCTTTTTCTTCCTCTTCTGTGACCACAGATGTTATGTCCTCTCTTTCCCAAAAGGAAAGAGTCAGGAAGCATTACTGTAGCAGGATGAGCCGCAGACAAAACCTCTCAGACACCGAGTTGTAGAAGGAAGGGCTTTATTCAGCTGGGAGCATCGGCAAGCTACTGCCTTAAAATCCGAGCTCCCCGAGTGCACAATTTCTGTTCCTTTTAAGGGCTCACAACACTAAAGATTTCATAGGAAAGGCTTGTGATTGATTAAGCAAAATAGGGGATACATGACAGGGGTTTCATGCACTGGTAGTCAGAGAGAAACAGGACAGGGCAGGGAGTTTCACAGTGTTCTTCTATACAATGTCAGGAACATCGGTTTCTAAGTCATGAGTTGATTTTTAACTACTGGGTTTAGGCCAGGCAGACCCAGGCCTGGTTCTGGGCCTGGCATTGGGCTGCCTGTCTTTGATTTTACTTCCTTTTTTCTTAAAAGAGGTACTGAGTATAAAACAATATAAAACAATTTGAGAGGGTCTCTCTCTTTCCTCCTTCCCCCCTTTTGAGACTCTCACTTTTCATTAGTGGGAGTTCTCACTCTTATTTTTGCTACTTATGTATTTTTGTGCAATAAATTGATAGTGATTCATATAGTACACTTGTGCTGAAGCATTTTGGTGAACTAAAGTAGCAACAAAGCTTTTTATCATTTGGAGAAGTACAGGTATCAGACAAGGGAGCAGTAAGTAGGTTCTTATTATTATTATAACTTTTATTATAAGAGTTTTAAATCCTCCTAGTGCTGGGAAATAATTTTTAAATATGGTTTCAGGGTTGAATTTGTGCTACACTAGTATGGGCACATGTGACTATGTCTTTAAGTACTTGTCTTTGATTATCTATGTGCAGACAGTAATTAGTAAGGTTAAATTTCTTATAGACCTCTCTTTCAGCTGCTAGCAAGTAGTTGAGAGCCAATCTATTTTGATAGACAGCATTTCTTATCTGAGTTTCTTGCCGGGCCAGAATAGTCAAGGCTTGACCGGTTTTATTAGTGATGATTTTTAAAACAGCTTGCAACCATATGATTCAGTTGAGCATGTAAATGGGGGTCCAGTATTCCTATGAGCCTTCTTGTGTCTAAGTGGCAGGCCTATAGTATTGTATAATTTTTTAGGAGGTCATTTATCATCTTTTTAATTCCCTATGGCTATGCTTCATTTTCTACGGGAAGCATAGACAGGGAAGCCCCGAAGTTCACCTGTTTTTATGGGCAGTAAGAACAAAGATGATTTAATAGTGCCAATAACACAACCACCTGTCTACAGGTCAGGCAGCTTAGCGTAGGCTCTGTCTACATATTCAGTATAAACTGGTGGGGGCAGTCTAGTCCTGGTGGAATTCTGGGTGGGACTAGACAGTCTGCTACCTTGGATATTTACTGAATGGATCTCTCTGTGTAATTGGAACTCCACCATGTAACTGTTTTTTTTTTGTTTGTTTGTTTGTTTGTTTTTTTGTGGGAGGGTATCATTATACAGTTTTTGCCCTAGACAACTAAGTCATCCTACAGAATAACTGAATTTTTTTTTTCATAGCTATGCAATATTGTCTAATAATTGAGACTTTTAGAACCTAGAGATGATCAAGGTGATTCTTTTTGGGTTGGGAATTCATCAGGAACTAGGTTTGTGGGCACTAATTCTTGGACTTTTTATGGCCATTGATCTCTTATTATAGTTTTTTTACAAACATAATATGAAGTGACCTTTAGAGACTGGGCTACATGCTCAGTTAATTGCAAAAAAAAATTTCTGGTTTTTCCTGGAGTCTCTGGTACTGGCATATTTAGTTTATCATAGAAAGTCTGAAATACTGGTTCTGGAGAGAGTTTACAAACCTCCTCTTTTACTAAGATATTTACTTTAGGACCTAATCCTTTTCTATTGATGCCCAGAGATAAGTGTTTTCTTTTTTTTCTTTTTCTTTTTACCTTGGGTTTAAGAGATTTGTAATTACCAATTCTAAAGGGTTGTAGCTCCCACTCATGCAGGAGGGGCTAACTTTTTCTGTTTTTGAAGCTAAACAGGATCTTTTTCATCCTTTTTTAAAGTAGTCTAGATGACACAAGACCAGTAATTACACACATTTGCACATAAGCTTAATTTATGGCAGATATACTTATTTTTTGCCGTGTAACCTTTTTTTCCTAATCTAGAGAACCACATCCCATCCCATGCTGCTTATTATTCACAGTGGCACAGGCGTCAAATTTTAAGGTTACATTTTTGGGGACCTCTCTCTTTTTTTTTTTTTTTTTTTCTGTTCTAGCTATTACTTTACTTGTGTCACTTAGAAAAGGACCAATCTTTAATTTTATTTTAAAAACTGTGATCATGGGAGGTTCAGAGGAGTCATAGCACACATTAGGCTATTCACTTTTTGGATTATATACTTTGTACTGGGTGTCATTATACAAACAAGTTTCTTTTAGAGTCCTGGTACACTTATAATAACCATAAAATAATAGGACTGTAGCAATCTTTTGTCCTACCTCAGTGACTTGACGTATACACTGGGAACAGCCCTCAGTCTGAGAAAGGTTAGTTGAAGTCCTTACTGTACACGTCCAAATTTTAAGGAAAATGAGTCCCACGATGAGATTCCTCATGCTTCGGCCTTGTGTGAACCAGTCAGCTTCCAGATGTGACTGGAGCAGGGCTTGTCGTCTTTCTCAGAGTCACTTTGCAGGGGTTAGTGAAGCCGCTCCCATCCATGTACAGCTCCCAGTCTACAGATGTTTAAGGATGGTCTCGGAGGTTAGGCCCACTAGAATAAACTGAGTCCAGTACTTTTACACAGTTATGTTTAACTGGGTTCTCTGATACCAGGAGCAAAGTGGTGGTTTTAGGGTATTGCAGACTTCAATGGTTATGTGGGGATTTTCACAGAGCAAGCTTTGGTATCTAGTTAGTCTAGCATTTATTACCTAATGGTGTCCTTTAGTATTTATTAAAATCACCACAGCATTGGGGGACTTTAGGTTTTGCCTAAGAGTTAGCTTATCTGCTTCTTGTGCTAACAGTGCCATTGCTGCCAGGGTCCTTGGACATGGGGGCCAGCCTTTGGAAACCTCGTCTAGTTGTTTTGAGAGAGGCCACTGGCCTTGGCCAGGGCCCTACAGTCTGGGTTAAAACTCTAACTGCCATTTTTTTTTTTTTTTTGGATACATACAGTGTAAAGAATTTTGACAGGTCAGGTAGCCTCAGGGCTGGGGCCGACATGAGTTTTTCTTTTTAACTCATGAGAACTTGTTGCTTTTGGTTGTAATAGATGTAGTTTATTTAATGTACATTTTTATTGACTGTCATCTACTAAAATATTGACTTAAATCCTGTAACTATTTGATTTCAAGCTTTAAATTGATCTAGTATTCCTTGCTGGGCTCTAATTTCATCTAAATAGATGTGAGAGTTGAAAGACTTGTAAGGGGCTTCTCTCGCTTTATGATTTCTTCTTCTTCTTCTTCTTCTTCTTCTTCTTCTTCTTCTTCTTCTTCTTCTTCCTCTTCTTCTTCTTCCTTTTCTTCCTTTTCTTCTTCTTCTTCCTCTTCTTCTTCCTCTTCTTCTTCCTCTTCCTCCTCCTCTTCCTCCTCTTCTTCTTCTTCCTCCTCTTCTTCTTCCTCTTCTTCTTCCTCCTCTTCTTCTTCTTCCTCCTCTTCCTCCTCCTCTTCTTCCTCCTCTTCCTCCTCCTCTTCCTCCTCTTCTTCCTCCTGTTCTTCTTCTCCTCCTCCTCTTCTTCTTCTTCCTCCTCCTCCTCCTCCTCCTCCTCCTCCTCCTCCTCCTTC